AGAAGAAGAAGAAGAGAAAAAACAGGAAGTGGAAAGAGTTCCACTGGAGAACACTGTTGGTGTCTGTGGAACAAGTTCTTCCCACGTTCTGTTCCAACACCTGAACGTCTCTCAGCCTACGTAGGGACCTGACGTCTGGGTTTGATAGTGGGTCGCACATACCGCCACCTACTGGACTAGAATGTCTAGTGTCACGGTATGACCAGTGACCTTTTGAGCTAACGTAGCCTACTGCTAACACCTTGATGTGCGATTCTCTTGGCTGAGAGTTGACGATCAGCGCTGCTGTACTTTATGTTTGGTTTGTGGTTTGCGTAGTTCAGTCAGGTCTTCTGTGAAGTCGTCTCCATTCTCCGTGTCCTCACCGTCTCAGGTCATGACTTGTCCTTTAATAAAATATTTCACTCCCACATTTATTTTTATTTTTTTTCCAACCCTCTGTCAGGTTTTCATGCTGGCGCTGACTTTTCTGGTCCTGTTCCTGGGGAACTTTCTCACCACTGTTAAAGTCGTCCACCAGAAATTCCAGAAGAACAAGGAAAAGATGCAAAAAAAGGACTGAGACTTGAACTCAACAGGACTCCTCAGACCTGGACAGTCCCTCTGAACCAACACACAGTCAGTCGGTCGGTCAGTCGGTCGCTCGGTCGTCTGTGAGACTGAGGCTCAGACGAAGATGAAATCACCGTTTCTCTCAGGCTTTGATTTTTGGAGAGCAGCGACCTCCATGTCTCCAGACCTCCAGGCCTACAGACTTCCAGACTTCTAGACTTCCAGACTTCTAGACTTCCATGTCTCCAGGCCTCCAGGCTCTGATGATTCACTGCTTCGTCGTTTTAAACTGCGATCATCTCCAGACCGTGACCAGCCGCTGCTCTGACCTGTGCTGACTGTGTTTCATTCAGGTATCTGTGTGTCAGCGTCTGTCCGAGAGCCTCGGCTTGAACCACATGCAACAGGAAGACAACAGGTAGCAAGCGTAAGGCGTAAAACGAGGAAAACCCCAGATTCAGTGGACGGTGTCAACTGTGGTGACGTTTAAAAAAAAAAAAAGTCTGTGATTTGTAAGGTTTAAAAATGTGAAGGTTTTCTTTTTTTATTATTATTTCTTTCTTTCTTTTATTGACATTCCCTCAGTCTGACGTTTGAGACGCGCAAAATTATCATTTGATTGAATTTTCGGTGGTGGGAGAATTTGTCAACAGTTAAATTGTTTGAAGACGTTAGACGATTTAACCTGATTTACTGTTTTCCCATTAACAGATTAGTCCATTCCCACCAACATACAGTCCTAGTTTTTTTTTTTTTTTAAGTGATGTTCGTTGTGGTTGTTTGTCAATGACCCTGTGAGTCTGGAGGTCAGAGGTCACTTATTGGCAGATCATCCACAGACGTTGATGCCGTTTTATCTATTTCTCAATGAATTTCCAGTATCGGGGGTTAGTGGACCGGGTCGTGGCCCGGGTCGTGGACCGGGTCGTGACCCCATGCCTGTATGTAACGCTGTTTCCTGTGGGAAGTGTTTGTTAACCAATGGACGACAAGAATTCGCACTAATTATCTTCTAGTTAATAACTTTAGAATTAACGTTCTTATGCAGCCTGACGTCGCCCTCTGCTGGGAACTCGGTGAATTTCATACTTCTGTGAAGTAGAAATAGTCGCAGCGTCACTGGCACGACCTGTATGTGTATTTTTTTTTTATTTTTTATTTATGATTTGTGTCTCGTCCTTCGTTTGTGTGTGAACCACTCGGTGCATCCTCAGGTTTTTACGTCGACTCTGTTTGTTTCGTAACGTAGCGCTAAGTACGTCGTTTGTCTTGTAAACCTGATACTGGACAAATTGAACCAACGTTAACTTTTTTTCTTGCATTAAGAAGAATGTCAGGGTCTCATGGGAAATTACACACAACCCCAGCGTTCAATCATGTACGCGTATCTGACCTGCTGTCTGGACCTCGGCTAAAACCACGTTAGCCGAGGGTTAGCGCTCACAAAGTTTCACCTACAGGTCGGTTAGCGTGTCACACTGTACATGGAAAGAAAACCAGGAACAAACAAACAGTGAGAGGCAGAACAAGTAAATACTCGTCCACCAGGTGGCAGCAGATGGCTATAAAAACAAATGAAACGGGCCTCAGAGCTGTCGATGATCTTGGTTTGTCTTTCTTCAATTCCTACCAGTATAAAAGTCTGGTGTTCAACTAAACAGACCAGTGTAGGTCAATTTTGAGTCAGTTGAAACTAGAAGCTTAACTAACGAGTTTCTATTGGTCAGTGCAGCTGTCAGTTACTCATTGTGTTCACTAATACGGTGCACCATAGTCCAAAAACTGTTTGGAATAACGACTTCCGACACCACGGGAACGTCTGCTCTACAGTCAAATCTTTCTTATTTTCAGTGTGTGACTTATGGCTAACAGTGTTCGATCAGCTGATTGATTAACGAATTTACCAAATTAATTTAAAGATGTCACTGTCAAAGTCATAAATTACTAGAAAAAAAGCTTAAAATCCACTCTTAACCCACTCAGAGTACTCACTGTACTGTAATACCATGACACCTGTGGTAAATAATAATCATTTTTATCCCGTCTTAATTTATTGAATATTTCAATAGTCATTTAATTTTTGACCAATGCTGCGGTTCATATTTTGAATTGCTCTTTTCTTTTTTCTTTTTTTGTTTAGTTCAGGTTTCGATCTTTGTTTTACTTCAGTGGGGGCCGCGGGGGGGCGGGGTCATGTGACTATAGTGATGTCGGGTCTCTGTCGATCCAGCTTTTCCTGTCTTTGGAAAATTCCTAAGTTCTCCAGGAAAAAAAATATCGGTTCCAAGTATTTCATTGATGACCTGTAGATGGTGCTGAAGCTGCCAGGATGCACACAAAAAAAAACACCAACTCAACAGAACGGAACCATGGTGACGTAGCTGATGTGTGACGTGGTTTTGTTTTTGTTTTTGTTTTCCGAGCCTGTAACTGGTGCCTGAGAGACGGTTGGAGATTTGTGTCCGATGCTGTAAGAAAAATTAAAAAACTCTAATTTAAAACGTCACTGCGTTCTCTGTGTTCTGTGTTCCACCGAGACTGACATACAGGTTTTATAACACTAGTGGGCGCTGTAGGTAAAGAAAATAGTCCCGGGTCAGCGGCGACACCAGCGTCAGGAGGAATTCCTGCTCGGGTTTTTTTTTTTTTTTTTTTAAATCACAGTTTGTTTTCAGGACTTTTTTAAAATTATTATTTCATGTTTGTAACGTGTCTGTATTTGAAGACATTGACGGGACGGAAATGTAACAGATGAACGTACGTGACCTCAATAAATATACAGTACGTTTAGAAATGAACAGGTTGCAAAAGTGCAGTAAGTCTAAAAACAAATGTTATAAAAACAACACAAAAAAATGACGTGAATTCAAAGAGGTCCGACGGTTTGTTGTTGTTGTTGTTCTTCTTCTTCTTCTTC